CACAACTTTGTCTGTCTGGTTTAAGTCTGCTTATTGCTCTGTCCCACTTGACCATTGCCTATGCACTGAGATTTCCAGTGTTCCTCCACGTGTCTACCCATGAGCGAAGGAATGCATTTGGCCTCCAGAAGCTGAAAAAGGTAAGAAAATTGATTTTTTTTTTCCCTGAAACCTCCAGAAGGAACACAGCCCATCTAACACCTTGATTTTAAACCTCTGATCTTCAGAACTATAAGAAAATAAGTTTGTGTTGTTTCTAAGCCACTATATTTGCGGTAAGTTTTTATAGGAGTAATAGAATACTAATACATCAGCCAAGCATAAAGCAGGAGTTAGAAAAAGGATAGTTGTGGGGAGAAGCCAATGTTTAGTCCAGGCCCTCCCTGGCATCGCTGAGAATAGGAACAGAGTTGATGGTGGCCGCTGTATCTACACTCTTTCTGTATCTACACTCTTAACACACATTCATCACTCTGGGCCCTCAGGAAGCAAGATACCACCACCATATTAGCATCATCATCCCCGGATCTCAGGGACTTGGTGGATGGTGGAGGAGGCGAAAAATCAATTGGTCCAAAGATATCAGTGAACTGTCATGCTGGGCTCCAGAAGAGACCATTTGGAGTGTAAATTAGGGTAATAGAACAGTGGCCTGGGAGATCTAGGTTCCTGAACCAGTTCCTGGGTTCAGTTTTGCATGTAATTCTGAACAAATTATATGCTCCATACTTGCTCTTTCTCTTATGTTCCACATCTCAATTAATTTTGGGAAACCCAGGAGTATTCCTAAACTCCCTCCCCTCCTCTCAACCATCTAATCAATTACCAAACCCTATCAATTTTATTCTCCTGAAAATTTCTCAAATTCATCCCCTCCTCTCCTCTTTATTGCCACTACCCTGATTTAAGTCTTATTACTTCATTCACAGGCTATTAACCGAATCCCTTCTATGTACATGGATTCAGACACTACCCTCACAGGAGACCTTCCCTCCTCACCTTCTGCAACTCCACCTACCCCCTCTGTCAGGACAATCTATCTAAAATACTCATCTGGCCAAATCACTGCTCCACCTAAATTGCATCAGTGAATTCCCATTGCCCAGGTGATACAGTCCAGACTCCTGAGCATGACTCACAAGACCTTGAATCATCTAGGCTCTGGCGGCTTAACCAGCCTCATCCCCTTCCTCTTCCTGCCTCACAGTTTGTGGTCCAGCCCTGCAAAATTACTACCTGTTCCCCGAATACAACACAGTGCTTGTCATAGGCCTTCTCCCATTAATTCTCTTCTTCCTTACTAACAGAATCCTGATTTTATTAGGGCAACAAAATGTCTAGCTACAAAACATCTTTCACATCACATGACTCTGGCCAATGAGAAGTAAGAATTCCCTTGTGAGTCTTCTAGGAAAGCTCCTCAAATGGCAGCAAACTCAACGGGCATGCTGTTTTCCCTTTGCCATTGCCCTCTTTTCCCTCTCCCTTCTTCCCATCTGGAATGCTGGTGTGATATCTAAAGCTGCATGTGCCGTATTGCAACTATGAAGCAACAGACAAAAGCCATGAATGACAGATTAGAAACACCTGGAAAGCCTATGTCCTCAGTGGTATCCCTAGGCTGCAACAGCAGCCCTGGATTATCTCCTCGGAACATATTATTTGAGAAAAATACACTCCTTACTGAAGAGCTTCCCAATAAATGAACACATTCTTTATTAATGTGCTTAATTTATTTCTTCAACCCTCTGATTAGACAGATGGGGCCCTGTGCTGTTAGAGTCCCCAAGCCATTCATCTCTGGCCCCAAACAGCCCGTCCCTCTACCCTGCTGGGCCATACAAACGTTTTCATATGTGTACGGCTGTGTAAAAACAAATGTTACACAACTTTGTCTGTCTGGTTTAAGTCTGCTTATTGCTCTGTCCCACTTGACCATTGCCTATGCACTGAGATTTCCAGTGTTCCTCCACGTGTCTCCACTGCCAGAAGCTCCATCACCACCTGCCTCCAGATTTTCATCAACTTATTGCTGCCTGCATTAGTCTGCCGTGCATCTAAGACTTCTCTTGGGCGACCCGTCCAGTAGCACTAATCTATCTTTGACCCCCAATGCTCTTTGGGGCCTCAGTTTCTGTCATCATGCTGACTAGAATATCTCAACATCTTTGCC